TACATTTTCTTTTTTAACAACATTATCCTTTAATTCTTGAATTTCAGTGATTGAATTTATTACCCCTGTTTTTCCACGCTTCTTTTGTTGTTTTGTGTTTGACTGCGAAACACTTGGCATGGGTGATAAATTTTGGATTGTTATGTGAAGAGTATCCTGTTAAGTATTTTCTAGAAGGACTCGTTGGCACTCTTTAGGTGGGTGATTTTGTCCACTTTCTAGGTTTTCTTCTAGATTATAATCTGGATTGTTTAGATGGATGTTTTGAGTTCGATCTTGATTGCTCTCTATAGATTTATCTGTAACCAATGATGGAGCGAACATCCATTCCTCAAAATATCAGGATTAAAAGGTTGAATCCCTGTTTTGGCACAGGCATTTATGGCATTAGCAGGAGTAGCACTTTTAAGGTAAGCTGTTTTAAACAACCCAGCAACTTGAAAGAGCGTAACGAGTCGTCCAGAATTTTGTTTTAACCAAGTTTGTGGAAGACTAAAAAAGCCCACGTCGAGTGGCTGCACCTGTTGGGAACAGTGTGGTGGAAAGCAGAAAAGTACAATACCATTTTCTTTTGCAACTTGTAAGACTTCCTGTCCCTTTTGACTACTGTAGCCATCTGACAATAATAATATTTTGTTCTCATTCGAAGCTTTGGTAGAGTGAATAAAATGTTTAAGCCATTGAACAAAAATATCTGAAGACATCCACCCTTTCTCCTGGCAAAAAAGCAACACTGACCAGTGGGGCAGCGTCCAATAACTCATTTTTGAACCTTTTTCTGGGAAAAATAAATGCAGGTGGTACAAAAGTACCAATTGGATTCATTGAACATACAACTGTTAAATGCTAACCTCGTTCCGCACTGCTTAGTGCTCCAACTTGTTTCCGTCCCTTGGTTACAAACACGTTTTGAGGCCTTGTTTGAACAGTACTAAGACCTGATTCATCAACGTTAAATATATTTTCGGATTAAACATTGTATGTATCTAAAACTTTTGCTAAAGAGATAAAATATGCTTTAATATTGTTCTTATTAAATGCTTGTGCTCGCGCGAGAGATGTATTTTCTGGTGTTCTGAGTGAAATGGTACTATTTCTTTTTAAAAATCCCCTCACCCAATTCCATCCAGCAAAACGTTTTTTTTGTTGAATTTGTGTTTGATGTTATTTCTCTCAGCAAGTTCGAAAACTAATCGTCTCAAATTTAGCGTTGTGAGACCAAAAAATCTTGTTTCCATATCAATCACATGAGTAGCTTACTCTTGCTCAAGACAAGGAGGTATTGTAATTTTTCGGCCACCCAAATCTCCTTTTCTTCCACCGGAGTTGTTTGCAAAACGTCTACGGAGTGTCGTAGCCCGAACATTAAAAGTTTCATGTTCTCTTCCGACCACTCCTGCCTATGTTTCTTGGTAGACGCCATATTAACAAAGGCCCTGCAACAAAACAAAGCCTTTATATCTGATATCAGGAGATATTCGACTGTTTAAGGTATAACTAGATAACGACAATCAAATTTTTAAGGATTGTACTAAACCTTTAAGAATATTTCAGATATACACTTAAATTTACTATTGAAAATTTTGTGCGATTTGAAAGCTCCAAATTTATTTAAAAATCTCTACAAAATGGTATTGTTTATCTACTTTTATCTTAATATAAGTAAAGAGTTTTTGAAATTTTTGTAATTATTAATTCATTTTCCTTTGATGGCATATAACATTTGCACATGATGGCATACTGTGCCATCATTAGTTAAACCACCTCAGATTCGCTGACGACATAGTGATTATAGCGAGCACATTCGAGAAACTGCAATTTATGATGGAGCAACTAGCAGGCCCAATACGTCAGCCTAAAAATGAATATGAAAGAAAAAACAAAAATAATGACAAATACAGATGACCCCAGTCGTATAAATATAAATGGCAGTGAGATAGAACAAGTTCAGGAATATATCTACCTAGGCCAAATTCTGAAAATTGACAAAGAGAACCAAAGTACGGAAATTACTAGAAGAGCAAGACTAGCATGGGCTGGATTTGGAAAACTTAGTTGGATACTTATGAACCGCAAAATACCCCAATACTTGAGGAGCAAAGTGTTCAACCAATGCATCCTTCCTATCATGACATATGTATGTCAAATCTGGACGCTAACCAAGGCAAACATGCATAAACTAGCCACAACAGAAAGAACAATGGAAAGAGCAATTTTAGGTATACGACTGTCAGATAAAAAGAAGAACGACTGGGTAAGATAAAAAATAAAAGTCGAGGACATACCAACAAAAACTGCTAAACTAAATAGTCCTTCGCAGGTCACACTGATAGACAAAAAGACCAATGTTGGAATACTACAATACAACATTTGGAGACCTTACGAAAGTAAACGACCAAGAGGAAGACCACAGATGAGATGGGTTCATGATATTAAAAGAAGAGCCGAAACAAATTGGAAATATGTTGCTCAGGATAGAGACCGATGGAAGGAGTTGGGAGAGGCCTATGTCCAAACATGGATGATAGAAGGCTACGAAGAAGAAGAAGAGAACTGAAGCTTAATACTAATCAATTTTTTTCCATTGCAGACTTACCTGTAGACCTAACAGGTGTTTGTAACTTTACCGTTGCAGATAAATACCGTCTATGCGCATACCTATGCAGCCGATATCGTTCGACAGAAAACGATTTACAAATTACACGTGGTATGCCATCAAAGGCAACATGCCATCATAGGCATATTTCCCTTACTAATATTTGATTTAGATGTCATCAGAACTGTTTACAAGTCAACAGTACAAAAAATATTTTCTTCGCGTATGTCTTTATCCTATTTAGATCTAGATTCTTCTTTAGATGTTAAAAATATTCTTCTTTGGATTTATTTTAACTTTAAAGAGAGCACATATCTCGCGCTGGTCTCTTTTAGGATGAAACAATCCGAGATTTAGATTGTCAAATTCTTCATGAAATTTGCAGATGGATAAAGCAACTACATCACGTGTTTTACACTAATCATTGATATAAAATCATTTTGAATGCCACTTTGGCAACAAGTACTTCTTTTGTGTAGTAGCACGGCAGTAGTGCGATTAAATTGTTCCATCGCTGGCAGTGATTCTAAAAATTATTTCAGTTCCATGCGTTCTGATTCGAAAGACTTAGGTTTTTTTATTTGATTGTAATCAAAATCTTCGTCACTCCGTTTAAAAGCAGTCCTTTTTTATGTTTCCAATTTAAAGCAGTCCATCTTCCAATCCCAAGCGTAATACAAAAACTGTGTTCTGCAGACTTTGATTGGCTCATCGTCTTTTTTTAAATAATAAAATAAAGAGTGTACTCTTTTTGATTCCTCATTAGTTTTTCTTCCTCTTGGTCTCTTAACAGGGAAAGATGCCAAGAGATTTTGAACTGTGAACATTGAAAATTTCAAAGATTATTTTGGAATTTCTGTACACGAGCATCAATTATTTATAACTCCAGGTTGCCTTCTAACTTCATAATTCCACTTTCCTTCTTTTTTCTTCCATCGTATTCTTTTCCAGACACTCTCAATCTTTTGTTACTGTCAGCATACCAGGTTGATTTTTTAATCTGACTCATTTTCCTTTTTTTATTGCTTTCCTGGGGATAGTTTTCGTAATCAGACTCGGATTCAGAATTCATTTTATATGGTACCAAACTTTCTTGCATACTTTTATCTGATTTCAAATCGTCTATATGGATGCATGGTCTCGTGAAAATAGGTTGGTCGATAGTATCTGAAAAAGTATTTCGAGGACTATTTTTAATTTCTTGCAAAGTGCTCTGCTCGATAGTATCTTCAGAAACCAGATTATTGGTACAGTGGTGATCATCAGTCATTAATTCAATCAAAAGAAACTCTTGACTGATATCTTTAAATTGGACTTCTTGTTCTGAATTTGGAGGTTCAATGTGACTATTATTATTTACTTCTCAGTTCAGAGTTCCGCAATCATCATTAGTATTATTATTTTGTGGTTAGAATATACTAGAAATATCTCCTGTATGTACATTATTTGAGAGGGAGTCGCAATTTGTACTTGAGCTTACGTCACCAGAATTTCTTTAGATATAATAAATTCAATTTAGACATTTCTACCACAGACCATTCCTAGGGGCTAGGTGCTTGAGATGATGTCGCTTGTGGTGCTTTTTTTTTAATTTTTTTCTTTACTTGTGCAGAAGTCCAAAATTGACATCTACAAATAAAGCATAAATTTATGAATTTTGAAAATAAAATTTTAGAAGCAGGCGAAATAAAATTAAAATTATACACTACGTTTGAAGTAGCAAAATAACGTCCCAACTTAAAATCATTTCATAATTCGTCCATTAGGTTTTGAAACCTGAATAAATAAATTAAATACTTGACTATTACCAATTTACAGGAAGCTAAAGTAATAAAATATTATTAAAAACCAAATTAAAAGGTATTTATGACGATACATAATACCTGCTAAGTACAATAAATTTAATATTGGTTCTAAGGAAAAACTGCTAACATCCCATATATTTGGGTTGTAGGTTATTTTAAGTTTTACAATAAATTTGACTTCATTTATCAGCATAAACAAATAATACGATAACAATATAAACACATACCTTTTAGTACTTTAACTTTCAACCTTTACACTGTTATCACAAAAAATACCAATTATTTGTGAGAGCACATGAGAGCACATTGCTGGCTTTGAAATCTCAGTACGAAATGACGACACACATGGAGTTAAGTTATCAGGGAACTTTTGTGGTTATGAATTTGACAGTTTTACGCATCATGCGTTTTTATAAATTTTAAAAGAAAACTGACTGTCCGTTTTTCTAGATTGTTTTTTCTTTATTACACTTTCGAATGGTATCAAAAACTTCATAACGTCAAAAAATGGATTTAGCACTTTTACACTCTAAGCCGACGGTTTCGTTTATTTGTTCTTAATCAATATCATTTATAGATAGAGAGAGTAAATTACTTACAATGACGACTCCGCATTCTTCTTTTAGATATTGCGTATGGGAGAGTTTGCCTTGTTTTCCCAACAAGGTAAAGTCTCCCATAAAGAAATCGTTGTCTTCTGAACTAGAAGGCCTTCCATTGCTTGCGTACCTGCAAGAAAAGTTTAAATTTAGTTAAAAATCAATTGTCAAATAACTGGCAAAGTGTGTATAGGCATTTTTAATTAATCCGCATTTTAAAGTTTAATTCGTTGGATTTAAAGCAATACCGCGTAATTTAAAAAATGCTCGCATAGTGCTTAAAAATGTGTTACTATCCTAGAGGATTTAACATAAATGCAGATAAGTATAATCTTGAAAATATTTTCGTTTATATTGAAAGGATAGATAACATCGATGTTGCTCGCTTACATCTAATTACAATAGGCTATATTTTGTACAATATACTAGGAATTTCTAATATCCTTCAAGTAAGGGAAATTGATAGTAACAGAATTAAGGTAGTAGTAGCTTCTATACATGATGCAAATTTATTTGCTGATCGTGTTTGCAAATAAAAAAAAAGAAACTGCTGATAGCATAAAAATCTACTCTGTTCCTATATAATAAATGACCAATAAATAAACAAATACTGAGACCAGTTTGAATATATTACTGAAAACTAAAAGGCTGTGCTATTTAATCTAAATTCAGTATCATCAATAGTAGGATGGTAGGAAGTTATAATGACTCAATAATAGCGTTATTATCGAACGGGTACACGTAAACTCATCACCAATTACCATAAATACCCTCGTACATAGTACAAACTCATCACCGCCATGAAAGTAGGGATTTTCAAACAGACCCCAAGATATTGGTAAACTCATCACTGGCCTGATGAAGATTTGGTAATTTAACAGAATAAATCTAAAGTAGATGTATTAAACGTAAATGTGACTTCGAATCGAGACTCATTAGTAACGTGTCGATAAATTTCAGCTCCGAATAAAACGTGTTTTTTGTTGGTTTATACCAAAACTTTAAATACAAGTTTGTACTAAGAGTGAAATTAAAGTGTCTTCTAATTACAGAAAAGAAAAATTGTAAGTACAATTTTTATTTGATCCAGATAAAACCATTTAAAGAATTTTATTGAAAACTAAACAGAAGATCTATTTTTATTTCAAATAAAAACGCCGATAAGCCGGCTTAATTACCTTAAGTCAGTAGCGGCTCTAGTATAATTATACTAAATGAAGAAATTAAAAATTAAAAATGGATAACAATTTAAAAACAGACACAGTAATCACCAAACCATTATTATCATCTTCAACACCAACATCTTCTTCAACATTAACCTACTCTAATGCCGTAAGCAGCTTTAACTTTCCATCCAAAGAACAAGCAATTGTTTTGTCATCAGTACCAGATATAAAAATACACGAATACATAACAGCAATAGGAACTTTAGTACAACCAAAAAATATCTTTGCGTCCAGAATTTCAAATAACAGAGTATGCATATATCTCAGTAACACTACAATCCTAGAAAAATTACTACATAACCACAAATCCGTTTCAATACAAGGAAACGACATAGAAATTAGAAGGTTAATTACTCCTGCGAGCCGACTAGTGATATCAAATGTCTGCCCCAGTATTCCAAACACTATTATCGAAGAAGAGCTCAAAAAATTGGAGCTTATTGCAGTGTCTAAAATAACATTTTTAAAAGTTGGCATGCCTGAATCTGAATACAATCATATATTAAGCTTTAGACGTCAAGTATTTGTTGCTCCAACAACTAATAATCATATCCCAAATTCACTTCTAATATCTCATGACAATACCCCCTACAGAATTTATCTTTCCTTAGATGGCCTAAATTGCTCTCAATGTAATACCACAGGACACAAAGATGAAAACTGCACTATCGAACCAATTAATTTACAAAATATTGACCAGCTATCTCAATCTATAAATGTTAATATTTCTGAAACAGAAAATTATCCAATAAATAAAACATCCCTTACATCAGAAACCGCAACTGCTCATCAATCCAGTACTCCTGCTGCTACTTCCTCAACCAGATCACTACCAAATACCTCCTCCAACTCACAAAACCTACCTGAATCACTATCTAATAATACCAACATAATATCACACACTTCTATAAAAAGACAAATGTCAACATCTCCTGAAATAATACAGTCAGAAAATCAAAAAATAATAATTCCTGCTCCAAAGAAATCTGCACCTAGAAGGATTAAAAAAGCTTTGAACATCGAAACCTCAATGAAACCTATAGAATCCATTTTATCCTCAGCTACTATTTTTTACACACTAAGATACACAGAACTATGCGACTATATTACAAATGCTATAGGTTCAAAGTTTCCTGAAAACGTAGCAAAGGATTATACAAATGACCTACAAGTACTTAGCGCTGAATTGCAAATGGTACACATAAACACAAACGATCGACGTCTTAAAAACAACATTTCAAGAATCTTAAAAAAGATACATGGAACAGACAACTCTTCTATTACTGAGGAAGAAAGTGACAGCAACTCTATCCAATAACCAAATTCATAGTTCAATGGAATTTAAATGGCTTTTACAGCCATATCGAAAACTTAAAAATATTAATCAATGAATTCTCACCTCTAATAATATGTTTACAAGAAACACGACTTTCTAATAATATTGTAAAATTGAAAAACTATACACCATACATCAGAAATAGACCAGTGCAGCAAATAGCTAGTGGTGGTGTTGGCATCTTTGTGAAATATACGGTCGAATCCAAAGAAATTCCGTTAGATACAAATCTGGAGGCTGTTGCAGTATCAATAATTCATCATTTCAAAATTAACATTTGCAGTGTATATTTACCACATCCGGAAGAATCCGTACTCCTGGAACTACAAAAAAGTGATAGAACAAATTCCATCTCCTAAACTAATTCTTGCTGACACAAATTGTCATAACGAATCTTGGGGATCTTTGAAAACTGACAAAAAGGGCTAAACTCTATTAGAAATAATTAACAACCTTAAAATGGTGCTATTAAACACAGGAATGCCTACCCGTTTCAACTCATACAATGGCACGTTTTCAACCATCGATTTATCCCTCAGCAATTCAACTTAAGCACCACTACTTGAGTGGAATACACTTTCACACTTATTTGACAGCGACCATCTACCAATTTTGATTACTCATATTAAAGACACAAAGATTAATACAAAACCATATGAAACATGGAAATTAAAATCGGCGGATTGGGAAAAGTATACTAGTTTAATAACTGAACGGATGAAAGACTTCAAAATATTAGAAGATATAAACATCACAATATCAAATTTTAATGATATCCTAATAGATTCAGCCAGAGAAGCGATTGGAAAAACTAAAGCTACCACAAAAACACCTCTGCCCTGGTGGAATATCGAAATAGAAACTTCCTTGAAACAAACAAAACACTCCTTTAATATATTGAAAAAACACAATTCCGAAACTAACTTAGCTAGATTTAGAGCGTTAAAAGCCAGGTCCAGATTTCTAATAAAAAAATCTAAAAAAGAAAGCTGGGCCAATTATGTCTCATCAATAAATTCATCTACACCAATAAGTGATATTTGGCAGAAAATAAGGAAAATAAAAGGCTCAACCAAAATTAATCATATTGACACCATTGCTACTGATAACTTAATTACGTCAGATAAACTAGAAATTGTAGAAATCTTAGCTGATCACTATCAACTATATTCGAGCAATGATCAATACAACTCTACATTTTTAAAACACAAAGAAAAAACCGAATTATCACAAATCAAAATAGAAGATATTTTATGCCCTCTCAATATACCGATTACAATAGAGGAGTTAAACGAAAGCTTAGGCAATGCTAAAAAAACTTCTTCAGGACCTGATGATATTCCAACAATATTTATTGAGAAACTACCTGAAACAGTAAAGAAAATTTTAGTTGACATCTTAAACAATATTTACACAAATAAAACGTTTCCTTCAATATGGCGTCAATCAATTATAATTCCTTCTTTAAAAATGAATAAGCCAAAAACCTTACCATCCTTCTATCGTCCAATATCTCTCACCAGTAACATTTGCAAAGCAATGGAAAAGGAAAAACTTTTTACTCCAATACAAAGCGGATACCGTTCAGACAGATCGACAGCTGATAACATTGTTGCACTAGAATCCGAAATACATAAAGCATTTACAAATCAACAAAAAGTAATTGCAATATTTTTCGACATTAAAAAAGCTTTCGACACAACATGGAAGCATTATATCCTCAAAATTATGAAAAACTGGAAAATAGATGGTAACTTTCTTGCTTTCACCAAAAATTTTGTTCAAAACAGGTCCATACAAGTAAAAACGAATGGATTCATGTCAACATCGAAATCACTTCATAATGGAATTCCTCAAGGATCGGCCTTAAGTCCACTATTATTCTTAATCGCAATAAATAATATAACAAACCACATAAAGCTTCCCGTAAAAGCTAATCTTTTTGCTGATGATCTAGTAATATATGTTAAAAGTAAAAATATAGAATTAGCTACGCAAATTTTACAGAGAACATTAAACAGCTTAGAAATGTGGTCTTTAGAGACTGGTTTAATTTTTTCAACTGAGAAGACTAAAGTAATAATGTTTGACAAACGAAGAGCAGAATACAACTTCTTGTATCTAAATGGCCATCCTTTAAATTAAGTCCGCGAAATTAAATTTTTGGGTGTAATATTTGACTCACAACTCTCATGGACTTCACATATCAACAATTTGATCAAATCCTGTCAACCAGGAATAAACTTACTAAGAGTTTTATCCAATCATAAATGGGGATCAGATACTAAAATTCTTCTTAATTTATATCAGACATTAATAAGAAGCAAACTCGACTACGGATGCATCTGTTATGAAACAGCAAATAAAAATCAACTAAAAAAAACTGGATGTTATTCAAACCACATCTCTAAGACTAATCTTTGGGGCCTTTAGAACTACTCCAATAAGAAGCCTTCAAGTGCTAGCAGGAGAAATACCACTATACCTCAGAAGACAATATCTATCACTATGCTACGCTTCAAGAATTCTAAGCGCAAAGGATCATACCTTTCTCGCAAGTTTAGTATCGGAAGAATCACTAGAACAATACACAAATTACACCACCAAGACAGTACCATTTTACGAACGAGTTAAAAGATTACCGTATTATATCAATCAAATTACCTTGGCACCCATAAAAATATACCAAACACCTCCCTGGACAGTTTCTTTACCAATAGTAGACCTCTCCTTACTTAATCATGATAAGCATTTACACAATTCTGCAGAGATCAGGCTTCAGTATCATACAAATTTACTCAAATATTCCACTCACAAATTGTTTTTCACTGATGCTTCCAAAAGTTGCAACGGAGTAGCAGCTGCTACTGTATCAGAAAACTTAATTTCTGCCACTAGATTAACTCATGGCTGTAGTATTTATACCGCAGAGCTCCAAGCAATACTTGACGCACTAAATCATTGTAAAACCATAAATGAAAAACAAATACTAATATTATCAGATTAATTAAGCTCTTTACAGGCCATTAAACATGTTTATCCCACACACATCAATCTATTCCTAATTAAGGATGCGTTGCAACAGCTCCAATTTTCTGGGAAAATTATATCATTTATGTGGGTCCCATCCCATGTTGGAATATCTGGTAATGAGCTAGCAGATAAAACAGCGTTTGAAGCAATAAACAATGTAAACATTCCGACTACAACAGATATACCAATATCAGATACTAAGACTTTATTAAAGACTCATGTGAATAAAATATGGCAAGAAATATGGGATCAAACAAACACAAATCTTAAAAATATCAAACCAGACATATCCTCAAAAAATCTTGGTATACCACCAAAACGAAAAGACCAGGTAATTATCAGCAGACTCCGACTTGGGCATACACGACTTACACACGGCTACATAATCTCCAAAGAACCACTACCAATGTGCCAAAGATGCCAAACACCTTTCACAGTCAACCATATATTAATAGAATGTCCAGAGTACACCTCAGCCAAGGCGATATTCAAGATACCCAACAGCCTGAAAGAAGCACTGGTTACAAAATTCAATGAAGTGCTGTCTTTTTTAAAACACTGTAAACTCTATAATAAATTGTGATTTAATTTTTGTTACATTTACATACATGTACATAATACCATATTGTTGTAAGTCCTGACTTTTAAAATGTATCTTATTTTCTCTATTTGTATCATAAACCTACCGCTAATAACCCTAGTGGTTGATGCGGATAAATAAAAATAAAAAAAAAACGCAAATGTAATGTTTTTTTTTTTGAAAATTTCGCAAAATTCTATTGATAGCTACCTATAACTATACTAAACGAAAAATTTCTCTTCATTTGCTTGTTCTCTTAACATGGATAGTAAGCTGCTCATTACGTTTTAAGCCAACGCGGACGAAAATGACAGATATCAATAATTTCAAATTTCAATTATGAAATACTCTAAAATCGAATTGTTTTTATAGACAATTACAATAAGAATAAGAAAATTAATATTTACAAAACTGTTAGATACGAACCAAAGTATGTATATATAAAATATGTATGTTACTTATGCATTATCCATTTGAGAAAAGTATGGTAATAATGCTAAGTGCGAATCGGTGTAATATTGAAGGTAGTGTTCTATTAAAACTACCCAAATCATGCCACATGCAACATCTTTTACAGCCGAAAGTAATTTTTGGTGGTAGACCCTTAATTCTAGAGAACTTTGCTATTTTTCTTACTTGACTGAATTTCCATGTTTCGTGAACGGTGGTAGAGTGAAACACCCTGCATATTAAGAAGTTTATATGTCGTTTATATAAATGTACGCCAATATTGTTTTTTAAAGTTTGTTAAGAAATACTCAACACTTCTCCTGCTAGATATTTTTAATAAAGGATTCGAAAATCATTTAGTATAAATAACTAATTTTTGTGTAGAATTGCAATTGTGTTCTTATAAAAAGTTTTGCAATACTAGCTGAAGATCCAAATATTTTTTGACTTAACCATAAATAGATCATTTTTTATAATTCAATTAAGTAATTTTTTACATGGAACGTAAAAATATGCCAAAAACTTATTAAAATTTTAAAACTAATGAAGACTTTATTTTATGGAATAAAGTCCAGTTGTCTGAAAATGACCAATGTGTGTTTATTTTTTTATAATTATTTTAGTTTTGGAAAATATTCTGCACTGCGTCTTGGGACACAATCACGCAAGCGACCTTCGAAAACTAAGCCGTCAAGTCATCAGCAACTCCTGCAAGATGAAAGCTCAAGAGGACTTATCAGAGAGACCATAAAAATCATTCACCAAAAGATTGCAACTTCTTCTTTGAAGAGCACATGACAACAACGGGCATCTCTTGTATTCGGAGGAATATGAGCAACGATCGTTTTAGATTTGTCACTTGTACCCAAGACAATGAAAAAGCGCATCAAGTAATCCTACAGATGAATCTAAAGACGGACCGCAATAAATGTTTTGTGTTGGATAACGATTCGTAACAAAATATTATTATTTTTGGCATTCTTGAGAATTTACGATACTTGGCGAAAGCAGACGCGTATTACTTGGATGGTACGCTCCAAAATTTTTCTTTCAATTATTTACCATCCATAGCTTATTAACTGGGCATTACTCAATTAATTCGTTGCTCCGCAGAAGTTGGTGTCGTTTTAAGCCCATTAACACTTATGGCTGATTTCGTAATTGATGTTCGACCATCTGTGAACCAAATGGGGTGTTTATTTCACTTGATTCACAGTTTGGTTTCGCAAAATCCAAAAACTTGGTTTTTTAACCACATAAATGAAGGGAGATTCCAAAGGCAAGTGGCTGCATCACTAATTTGGCTGGCTATTTTTGGATCCAGAATGACTATTCTCATCCCAATATCTTCACTTCTGTATCTACGCTTCCACAGTACTAAACAATGGTGTACATAAAACTGCAGAATTTACATGTAACTGTCCTATTTTCACAGGATAATGTTTCTTCAAGTTTACTTTGACCGTTTATAAAAGCCAGGAGACTGTACAATAGCATTTTGATTTATTTTGTCATAATAAATAGATTTTTAATTAGTTGAGCACTATTTCCGATATAAACAGAAACAGCACATGCTCATAAATATTTTCATTATAAAGTCACTATCAAAAACTTATGCAACTGAATTTTCAGATCTCAAAACTGTTTAGATTGGTTTATACGTCAAATAGGCCACACTGTAAAAAAATATCTATTATATATCAATATTAATACCTATATCGATATTAATATATATTTTAAAGCAATTTGATTAAAATAATTTTTGAATTTAATAAATTACCACATAAACGAGAAGTGTAACAGGTGACTGGCAATCTTCCGCATTAGAAACCAGCACCTTGGGGCAAAAATGCTGGTGATGAGTTTACCTATCTGCGGTGATGAGTTTACCTATCTCCAAAGGCTGCCGGTGATCAGTTTACCATATTTCGGAGTGTGTTATAATTTTATGGGGGGTTATAAAGTGATGAGTTCGTACACGTCCAATCGAACTACTCAGCTTGTCGAAAATACTGGGTCGACGGAAAAACTTAGAACAAAAGTCTTTTCAGCTTATTCAAAAAAGTTTCTCATTATGTTAACTTATATTGTTTCTAGTTTTATTTAACAAATAATGATACTTACAAATTGTCAATATAGTTGACTGGTAGATTTACAGGTACATTAGGTGTTGAATGTGGTCTAGATGGTCGTTGAATAGGGTTTTCAATAGGCGTTTGAGTACTTAATGAAATTGTCAATTCAGGACTTGTGAAGTACATGTCATTACTTGCTGGAGCCTCGGTCGTCGCTTCTTTTTTAAGACAAACGGTTTTGGCATTAAGCCGAATTTCCACCAACTTCGGAGGTGGTTGACTGGTGTCGTACTTAATATAAATGCGAATCTTTGTAGGTACATTAGCTACTAGCTTCTTGTTTCGAGCTTGAATTTTGAACATGATATTGTCATCAGTCTTTACTATACCAAACCAATTCTAGAAAATGAAAATAATATATAAAATTAAAATTTAAAATAAAAGGAATGGCTATTTTCCAAATAAATGTTGGGTTAACATTTTAGCATTCGATACAATTATAAGCTTGATCATGATGATTAGGGTAAAACTGTGCAAATACCGGTCAGTGGGTAATGGCGGTCATCCCGATTGTGTGAAATCTATTCAATCTGGCAACCTTCTATAACTGCCAACGTGTCGCTACACTACTCTGTATTCAGATTGCTGACGAGCGTTGAGTTGGCGCAAACCATTGTCATAGAAATATAATTAATCTGTTTTCAGTGTTTTCCAAAATTAAAAATTGTTGAAGAAATATTTATTATTTATTTTGAATATCAAAAATAGGGTTACGAGACAAGGACAACACTGGCACTGACAACTTATTCGTTTATCACTAATTCGATGAGGGCAACACCATCGTTACGTTACGTGCAGAACTTTAACTCTTAATTTAACGTCCATCTTCTTCAATACGTTAGTTCTTTACGTATAGGGAGATATGTTACGTTAGGTAGTTACAAAAACTCTCTATTAACGGTTATTGTAACCGGTAAAATTAACGGTTATTGATCCGGTCGCAACGCATTAGGCAACACCTGTTTTATGAATTAATTTCTTATTTATGTAATTGTGTATAAACAATTGTATGTACTGGACATGAGCCGCAGGTAATCATCACACGGAAGTTAAATGTTCTTGGTATTGCAGTTTAGGCTGGATTTTATGCGTTTTCTTCGACCCATATTATAAAATGGAATAGTCATGGATCATGGAGAACTTGACAATAATTTACAGTTAGAAACTCTTCGATATTTTCATTTAGACTGTTAGACAGAGCTCCGCCTTACTACGGAATAGAAGTTCGTGCTTTCCTAAATGTCCAGTTTCATGATTGTGTGTGATTTCACTTTGTGGGATGCTTTTATCGATATCGTGTTTGTCACACCAATATGAAATATTCAGCATTTAAAAGGGATGATTAAAGAATAATTTGAATCTCTCCAGGCTAACCAAGAATTTTCTAGGAAGACTTGTTTCCGCGTGATTAAGCGATGCCTAAAATGCATTGACAGAGGCGGTTTGGGAGTTTAAGCACAAAATGTAGAGATGACCTGTATTTTGTATCTTTATTTAATTTTGTTTACCTACTTTTTTATCTTTATTTAAGTTTAAGTTTTTAAAGTTTTTAAATTTCTCCATTGTTTTTTTTTTTAATACGCCGAACGGTTAACTGACTTTTGCCGCACTCTGTATAAATTATGGTTTTAAACCTGAAATTTATTAATTCGATTCTACGTTGGAAAACAAGTTATTCATGAATTTTATTTATATGCAAAACACATTTCAAACGATTGTCTAAAATTATAATAAATTTTAAATTTGAATGGTGCAAATAAACACTTTTTTGCATCGGGTTTTACTTAAGTCTTGAGAAAAAAATTTATTTGTAGTGTTATTATTAGATATTTAGTTCTGTTCTGGTTGTGTATAAATGTGTGGCGTATTGTATATTCTTTCTTCTATATAACAGATAATGCCAATAAAAAATTTTCTTTAAAACAAAGAAATTACTTTTGACGTAGTATTTGATTATAGTATATAAACGCGCAAGAAAGTCAGAGGACAAGAAAATACCTATAAGTACCGAAAAAGAAAAGCAATTTAGAAAGGCTCAAGAATTTGCTTTCGTGGAGGTTCTTTAAGACATAATTAAGCATATAATTAAAGTAACAAAAATAAAAGATAACCAGAAATAACCCACGTGCCTTACCGTTAACACTCTCCATATTGGAGAGTAAACAAGTTCCCGATATATGGGAATCTAAATACCTTTTCATCTATCTATCTACTAATCTTTTTCTAATTCACACTTTCGAATTTCCAATTTAATATTTCTTTTATTTCCCTTTTCTTGGTCGTTCCACTTTGCCATATTCACCAGTTTTTCACAATTGATTTATTAGGTATTCATTCCACCGTTATTCTCTACTTATGGCTATATCATCTGACTTGTTTGGTTTTCATTTTGTCAATAATTGTATGAATTTACATATCTTGTCGTTTTAAAAATCATGGATGTTCTTCTCAGAATTTCAATTCCACATTTTTAGGTCCCCTTTAGGATTTTTCGTGTACTGAAATCAACTTTAACTTGAGAATATCCGTCAGAAAAAATCATAGCATTTGACTCGTCTTTAAAAACACAACCACATGCAATGATAACGATAAAACTCTCGGTTTAGTGATTCCATAGTAAATCATGGGAAATAAACCATGAAAAAAAAAACCTCATAATACTATCCCGACAAGGTAAGTATTTGGTCTTACATTTAGTTTACTATCAATAAACATCAAACTCTGATTTTATATGTATGTTATTTAAAAACATAAATGATGTATTCTCGTTGTGTTACTGACTTACTAATAGTGTTAATTTTCTTTTTATTGGCTTCCTCTTTTAATATGGGTAACCAAATCCAACTGCATTCTGACGAGGAATTTACGATGCAGTTCACTTCTTAGAATTTTCTCTTTTTACCATCCGTTTCTTTCAGGACTATACTTAAATCGTTCCATTAAAACCAATGTTGATGATGAAGATGATAATCGCTGAGCTGTCATTTTCTCTCTGACGAAGATTAGAGGTGATCTTGTGAACCCCAACAGTACAGTGCACGTGAGAGTCTTTTATTACGCCGTCTTCTGACCCTGGATCTACCATCATGCATCCCTAAACACAATCGAGATTCATCTCTAAGACAACCCTATTCCATTCCTGATCCCAAACCAATTATTATTTGCACCATTTAAGATGATTACGTCTGTTCGCCTTCCAATTGATCTTCCATGTTCTGCTAACAACTGATTTGCAATAGATTTAATAGTGGCGAAGCGGTCTCAATCTTAGGAGACTATATTCTGTGCTTCTCGATCTTCGTGCCCGGCCTTCTTGATAGCATTTTAATACGGCATCTACAATTCTGTGAGCCCTATTAGCAATTTCGCGAAAAGAAAGTCCGGCTTCTCTTAGGCCAACTATGAAGCAGAGGTATGTTGCAAAGTCGAATTTTTTAGATTTTTTTTATAATCTGCCGTACGTTTAAAAGTTTGTTTCCTACTGCTACATGCGGGAAAAAACTGCTTGTTTTTTCGCAGTTTTAGTTAATAAAAAGGGCTTTATGCTCTCTAAAACTATGTGTAAAAAATCGTGCTGTAGTGTGTAATGGAAGCAAGTGTGCGATAGTTTCTACATAAATGAGATAGTCTTGATAATGAAAAAGTAAGCAGAAACCATCTCAGCGTTTCTTTTTATATACGTAAGAAAATAAGTCTGTCCTTAGCAAATTTTTGTCTGACTGCATAACAGTAAGCCTCAGTGTTAACAGTAGTAATTGTCAGTGTATAGTCGTTTAAACTTCATTGAACAGAAATGCATAAAAAATAATTCTATAGAAGAGTAAGGAGAAAAACCCCGTGATCGAAATTTTTGTGTTAATCTGGTTCGAGGTGGTTATTAAAGGATTGCGAGGCGTAGAATCCGACGAAGCCCTCGGTTTTGGAATATAACCCCGTCATCTCAGCGAAAAATCGGGTTGAATATAAGCAGTACTGGGGAAAAAACACGTCATAGACAGAGCGTGCGGGGAAGAATCCCGTTATTGCAGCTTAAATGCACATCGCAAACACGCAGAGCATGCCGAGATCTTTATTAAGTTGCATACCGGGGGCTAAACCCTAGTATTATTTCTTCCGCGCTCAGTACCGTATTGTTAACCTGTGTATTGTGTTTCGTAATTTTGTGAAAATAGACAGCGATGATGGAAAGTCGAGTGATAGTAGTGATGAGACGAAGCTTTCAACCAGCAAGAAGCAGAAGAAAACAGGTACAGTAACAGATGTAATAAAAATGTTGAGAGCTGTAAGCCATGAACTCGGGCCGGATTGTTGTTGCAAGATGCTTCGCTGTTTTGAAGCAGTTCCTGAGGATCAGCGCAAAAGAATCATTCGCGAGTTCAATGCGATGGGGAATGTAAATAAACAGAATTCGTATTTAGGCGGTATCATTTGTGTGTTGCCGGTGATGCGAAGAGGGAAAAATGAAAATCAAAGTAAGTACGACACAGCTTCCTTTGCCTACAGAGTTATTTCGCTAATAGATGATGGTGTCATTCGTGATGTGAGAGTGTGCTGAAAGCTTTGACGAGCATGCATGGTATCTCAGAAGACAAAGTGAGATACATTCGAAAATCTCTTGATCAAACAAGAAAAGCCCCACAAGCCCCACAACACCCCACAAGCTAACAGAAAACACCAAGGAAAAAATGTTCACATTTTTGAAGTCACTAAGAGGAAGAAAATCACACTATTCTCTGAAGAAAACGGAAAAGTTATACCTACGTGAAGAACTCAACATTACAAAGCTACACAAAATGTACACGGATCAGTATCCAGATAATGGAGTATCGTATTAATCTTTTCGTGAATATTTTGAAAATGAATTCAACATCTCCTTCGACTATCCTCGCAAGGATACTTGAAGCACATGTGACTGCCTGAAGTCTGAGATTTCCATATTGGAAGCAAAAAACCCGTCCAGAACAGACCTTCAGTTGTCTGTGAAGTTGCGAAATAGGGATATACACCTAAAGAAAAGTGAATGTTTTTATCAATTTTAGAGACTTTGCAGAAAGAAGGCAATAAAGTCGACATCTTTTGAAGAAATTGCCATGGATTTCCAAAAAAAAATTACCTTGCCCAAACATAACTACTAATGACATCTACTACAGGCGTCAACTTCATGAGTTTTAACATTCATGTACTGTTTACTCAACAGTCGATTTTCTACACGTACGACGAATCTGTAGCAAAAAAAGGAGCTGACGAAGTTTGCTCTATGTTGCTCTATGTTGCATTTCGTATGCAACATTTTGCCCTCAACGGTGAAGGAACTTACGATATTTTGCGACTCTTGCGGA